GCAGGTCTGGCCTCAACGTTCGGCCACATAGGCGCTTCCAAAAAGGCAGGGGGCGGCGGTGATTCGCCGTAGGCGTCTTCGATCCGCCGCCCCCTGCTTGCAGGGGTGCACGGCGTGCTGGACGATTCAGGTTTTGGTTTTGGTTCTTTTTCTAAAAGAACTCCCCAGTGGGCTTCGGCCCGTCCCGCCGGCCACCCGTAAATCTCACAAAACCCATCTGTCAATACCCAAAAACGGCCGTTTCGCTCGGGACATCCTCAAAAAATCGCGAAGATGGCCCAAGATGGCCTCCAAGTCCGCCCGAGATGGTCCAAGACGGCCTCCAAAACGGCCCAAGAGAGTCCAAGACGGCCCAAGACGGCCCAAGAGGCCCCCCAGAGGCCTCCCAGACGGCCCAAGAGGCCTCCAAGAGGTCCTCCAGGAGAGTCCGAAGAGGCCAAAATCATTGATTTTCCCTTGGTTTTTGAAGGATTTTGGCATTTGCGCCTTTTCGGCTCTCCGACGGCTCAAGACGGCCCAAGAAGCCCCCAAGATCGCCCAAGAGGCCCCCAAGAGAGCCCCATGATGGCCCAAGTGGCCTCCAAGATGGCCCCTAGAGGGCCCCAAGAGGGCCCAAGAGGCCTCCAACACGCCCAAGATGGCCTCCCAGACGCCCAAGATGGCCTCCAAGACGGCCCTGGAGCATTCCAAGCGGGCCCCAAGTCGGCCCATAGAGGCCCCCCAAACGGCTTCCGACGGCTTCAGACGTGCCAGGAACCCACCAAGATGGCCGAAGTTGGCTCGAAGCTGGCCCGAGACGGCCCAAAAAACCCCAAAGATCGCCCAAAGCTTGCCCAAGAGGCCTCCAAGACGGCCAAGATGACCTTCAAGATGCCCACGTGTTCCCCGAAGGCTTTCCAAACCGATTCGGGGAACACGTGGTCCGATAGCTTGGCAGGTCTGGCCTCAACGTTCGGCCACATAGGCGCTTCCAAAAAGGCAGGGGGCGGCGGTGATTCGCCGTAGGCGTCTTCGATAATTTCGTCCACATTCCTGCACATTTGGGAATACAGCAAAATGGCACACCACGCGGGCCAAAATGATTGGGCCTCAAACAGCGCTGGTGCTGCCAAACGCTTAATTGTCGCATATGTTTTGCGGCCGCGCCAGTGGGCTTAAACAGGGGTGCCCCGCAACGCAAACCCAACCTAGACGTTACCTTCATCGGGTGCCACATGCGTGCATGGCGCCACGTTCCTGTACCCCTGGGGCGATCCAGCGGGGTGCCCTGCAAAGCATGAATAATGAATGTCGCGTTTGTTTCAAAGGTTGCCAACTATACAGCTCCACCGACCCTGGCGAGCTCATCCTGGGCCCAGGATCGGTGCATGCGCCCTCCTACCTTGGTCAGGCAGGCATATGCACCGATCCTGGGCACAAGCTCGGCATGCGATGACAACTGTACGCTTGACAGCACCTGGGGAGCTACTCTACTATGCTATTCCTGATCGGCGCAAAGGCCGCGTCCTGCTACAGGCTACGTGACAGAAGGGAAGAATGGAAGACAACTCGCAGAAAAGCAGCGGCAATAGAACATCGATCCCTCGACTGCGCCTGGGAAAGACAGTTCTTGCCACTCAGAAAGCGCGCCAATGTCAGCCAATTCGCAATTGTTTATCTTGCGTTCAAAGGGGCGGGGGGAGAGCCTGAGGGAGGGAGAGGGGAAGAGTGGAAGAAAGGGGGAAAAGGCAGGGTCACAATTAATGCTGGCATTGCTGCTTTCGTCAGTCACTCCAGCGTTGCCGAATCCTCCCTCTGGTCCTGTAAAAGATATGTCCTTGTTGTGCTTCGCCCGACCGAGTCGGCTCCCAACTGTGAGCTGCGCGAGATAATTGTGGCGAGCTCCAGGAAGCTAGACAGACGAGGATGCATCCCGACGTCGATTGCGCATCTCGCTCCAAGCAGCGACGGGGTGCTTGAGCAAAGCAACGCTGAGACGGCCTTGCACGCGGCTGCCGGCTTCCTTTCATGATTCGTCGCCTATGCCGACCATGCGACGCATCATCTTCCTCTCAAGGGCATCAAATTTGTCCACATGGCTCGACGTCAACGGAGGCGTTGGCAAGCTGTGCAAAACCATCGGCGATGTCACGGCGTCGAGCTGCTCGATACCGCCAGTTGCAAAACGTGATGCTTAAACGCACGCGCGCGAAATCCTGCGCGACGGAATTGCTGGGCATCTCTGCTTCAAGTCGCCCAGGAACAATATTCCCAAAAACTTGTCCGAAAAACCCGTTGCGGGCATCTTCGACAAGTGACGTGGCGACTTCCACCATCTACGGCATCTCGCACTTGAGATGTTGCAGTCAGTGGACAGAATCTTTGTCTTCGACCCATTGATAATCAACCCTTCTTTGGTGAGTCCATTTGTCAAGATTTCAAGTGTCTCCACCACGTCGGACAGACGTCCCGAAAATAGAAAATCGCCGGCACGTCGCAATTTGGTCAGGCACTCGTGCCCTGACCCCATAAGCGCCATGCTGCCCGAGCCTGGCTTTCCAACGCCTCAACGCAAACTTTAAGGCAGACTTGACAAGCAGAAGGCCCAGCGCGCTCCCTTTGCGCACTCCTCTTCGAATCAGAATCAGGTCGTTTCCAGCTACGCCTGTCCGCTGCGCGCACAGACGCTGCTAGTGGAGGATGTACCCTGTCGTCGACGCCCTGCTCCTCCAGCGCCGCGAACAAGGCGCTGCGTTCGACCTCGTCAAACGCCTTTTCCAAGTCAGTGCTGACTATCCAGACCAGGGCGTTCCGCTAGAGGGGTTTGCCGATGACAGGCTCCAAAATGAGAACCGCGTGCTCTGTGCCCCGTTGCGGCCAGAAGCCCATCTGCTTTGGGGACTGCTCGCCCTCCAATCTGGGACCAAAGCAGTTCTGCAAGATCTTAGCGCAAATCTTATCCGACACGTCTATTGCTGCAATCGGTCTCCTGTTGTTGGCATCCAGTGAATCCGCTCCGCTCTGGCGGCATGTCTCCCAGGCTCGGTGTGTGGTTGCAAAGCGGCGAGGAGGATGTCCTTCGTTGTGTTTCTGCTGGTTCTGAACATCTCCAATATGACCTCACGCCTGTCCTCCTTCCCTGCGGCCATCTGCCGCACAGCCAAACTACGTTCGTCAATTGAGAAAGCTGGAATGCCAGCCGGTGGAGACAGGTCGCCAGCGACCAGATCGCCCGCGTCTGACGCATATACATCCCCGAAGCACGCGGCCGGAGCAGACCAGGGCGGGCGCACCGTGCATTTGCCGCGGATTGGATCAGAACAAACCCGAACAAACTTCTGCACATCTCGGATCAGCTGCGACAGTCGCCTTTTCCCCGCCGGGTCTCTGCTGAGGCGCCATACAACGCGCATTTTCTCGAGTTCCAGTGAATCCCGCGCTTCCCCTGAGTGGAGCCACTCTCCGCAGCTGCCTGAGATATCAGGGTGCGCGCCTACAAGGGTGTCAGTCCGACAGCACGTTGTCCAAGGTATCCCCATAATGTTGCGCACTTGCCAACCCACTCTGCACTTTCTGACCCGTCGCCTTCGGAAATATGGCACTTTCACTGATGCGAGCACAGCCCGGCGATCAGACCCACAGTCGAGGTCGTTGGAGGCCTCGCACCTTGCGACTGTCATACCTTCGGTCACTAGCACGTAGTCTAATTGGCGCGTGACCCCCAACGTGCTTGTGAGGTCCACGATTTTTCCAACGGTTGCTAGTGTCTGAAGGAGCGAACAAATCAAACCCAGCCACAAATTCACGCAATAGTTCGCTCCTGTTGCCAGCGTTCACTTGCGCATTGAACTCACCATCAAAACAAGGCTGCCCTTTTTTGACCAAGGCTTTCAAGTCGGAATAAAAATCGTTCAACGATTGTTGGCTGTACAATACGGAACATATACCGTGTGGTGCGGATCGCCATGCCGCGCACACGGGCGTCCAAGGCAATCGTTGTCTGAACGCACACTTTAGAGCGAGACCCTCTAAATTGGGTCTGCGTAGCGGAGGACTCCGCTGATCCCTTCCCTCGGGGAAGCAGGTTAGTGCCGACAGTTGGACGTTTCGGTCATCACCCAAAACGGCGAGGCCGCTCCACCGGCCCCACTCCCATGGCCCCCCATTAGAGGCGCAGAGCTGTGATAGTTACACGTTCCCAGCCGGACCCCAGGACGCAGGAAAGTGGCGGCAGTAATAGGTCTGGCAGCGCTCAACCAGGACGAGTTCTCATAGATTGGGTCTGCGCAGCCAACCACCCCGCTGGACCTCCCAGTGGCGCAGGGATGTGGCGGCACGTGTACTCTCGAAAGTACCATGGAGACAAGAAGAGACGGGATGAAAGAAGAAGAAGAAGAAAACAGGAGGCGGAGGAGGGATATATACAGAGAGAGAGAGAGAGATAAAGAGAGAGATGGAGGGAGAGATGGAGGGCTAGACATGAAACAACATGATGCTCTCGCATGCTGCATTTCAAAGGATCAAGAGGTTCAATGGTGCCGTTAGGTATGCCGTGTTGGAGCATGTGCTAGCGACGTCCATATTATCCAGGTGCAGACATGTACAGAACCAGAACGGCTAGGAGGAGGAGATGAGAGGAGATGGGAGAGGCAAGGGAAGTGGAGAAAGGGGGCTGAGAGACGAAACCTAGGAGAGGCAAGGACCACACGAGATGGTTCAAGGACGCTCCTGCTGCTTCACCTCCTCGCCTTCATTTAAGAGACACCATATTCAACACACACACACACCGCCACGTAAGGCCTGTATCCTCGCAGGAATTCGGTGGGGTGAGTTGCCCCCCACACAGGCAGATCTCTAGACATGCGTGATCCTCCTCGTCGTTTCTTTCGAAGTCGTCGTCCTCCTCCTCGTCCTCCACCTCCTCCTCCTCCTCCTCCTCCAATCTCCTCCTTCTTTCTCCTCCAGACATGTGTGATCCGCTGATGACTGTCTTCCTGAAAGCGCGCCTGTAGAATCTGCTGTCACAAGTACTTCTTGGCCTGAAGGGCGGCAAAGCTCTTTCCCCGCAACCACTTCTCAGTGCAATGCGTTGCGCGACGGGGAGGGGTAATGACACTGTCGTGCCCATCGCCGCAACGATCATCCGTTTGATCCGAAGCAGGTGAAGGGCGGGCACCAAGGGTATTTTCAGAACACGCATCCGTAACTATCCTATTGCACCTTCTCATCCTCAGACAAGACAACGTTGAAATATCGCGGCAACGGTGATGTGCGCATGGGCCTGCCAAAAACCCAGGATTGGGGACAGACAAACGGTGGTGTGCGTTTGGCCCCGCACGAGGGGGGACATGGGAAGGCTGTAAGAGACAAGACCCGATAACCCTGCAGCAGAAAGTGGCCCGCATGAGTTGAGGGAGGCGTCCTCCATACATGCAGCTCGTAGAAGCTGTGATAAGAATTGTGCGCGGCGCCGATGCGACGGCATCAGGCTTCAAAACGAAGCGCCATTCCTCCGTGTAAGCGCGGGGAATCTCGCCAATCGGATCAAGCATTGCGAGGGTGCCAAGCGAAACAACTGCGTTTGAAACAAACCGCCCTGCATACGGAGCGTATCGAGCTTCCCAATAGTTGCGACAAGGTGGCCATCAGCGCGGGCCAACATCGCAATAGTTAGAAATGCCTGCGCGACTGCAATCACGGCAAACATTGTCAACAATCGAACGTGAAACACAACAACATTGTCCAAACCATCGCCCGAACTGTATCACCTTCTCGTGTAACGCCTTAGCACACGAACTTCAGTGACCCTAATCCGCCAACCAAAACTTCCCTGAGACGCGTTAAGGCTCAAGACTCTCAAGACGCCTCAAGGAGGCCACAAAAGCCGCCAAGATGGCCCAACTTAACTCAATGCGCCAAGGGAACCCACGAGGCTGCTTGCACAACAAAGAGATAGCCATGACGCCCGACAGCTCAAGAAGCCCCAAGGTGGCCCAAAATGGCTCCAACAAGCTCCTAAGAGAGCCCTAAAAGACCCTTCAGATGGCCGAGAGAGGCCCAAGACGGGACACGACGAGACCAATCCGGCCCACGAGGGCCACAAGAGCCCTTCAGGAGCCCAAGACAGCGACAAGGCGGCCCAAGCATCAAGCAGGCCAAAATGAGAGCCCCTCTACGAGTAGAGACGAGAGGTCTCGCATGTTAATATCGGCATTCTGGGCAGTGCTCGAAGCGTCATCACACAGAGTACTGCGCTGGCGCGGTGGTGAAACCTACCGCAGGCAGCATATCCAAACTACTGCCCAGAAAGCCCAAGAGCCACGAGCCAACTACAACCAATCGCCACGACCTCTCTAACCATTCACGCTGCAGAATCTATTCCCAACTGTCAATTACCATCATCTTTAATCACTTTTGGCCACCCACATGTCTCGACAATCCTCCGTCATGTGAGGCCCATGCTTTGCGATTGAGCTCACTGCTGTGCGGGCGTATGTGAAATCATCACCGACATCGTCCAAGCATCCATAGTCGCAGCCATACAAGTCGCATCCATACAAGCGCTCGCCGAAACGGTGTCCTGCTGCCCAATGTCCTGCTGCCGCTCAGAAATCTTGAGGTCGACGCACTCACACTCATTCTTGGCGAACTCGCGAATGCCTCCAGGTACCACGGGACGCCCTTGTTGTTCGTCCCAGTGCCGCCTCGGTAGTGCGGGCAAGCAACCTCCTCATCCTCCTCCTCCTCCTCCTGCTCCTCCTCCTCCTCCTCCCCCTCCCGCCACCCCGTTGTCGGCACCGCCAGAAACAATATTCCACTCGCGCCGACCCCTGGCAGAAAGAGAGAAGGGCCACAGCTCCCCAGCCCGGACCGCGAAGCAGCGCGACTGCATTCGCGTCTCTGTAGGCATAACCAAGAAACACATTACCAGACCGACGCCAAACAAGGCGGACCCCAGACATGGCCAGTGGAGGACGGACGGGTGGAAGTGGAGGATGGGCGATCGGGCGCTGCGTAATCGGGGGGTGAAGACAGGTGGGTGCCTCCTGTGCCCCAAGGGGCCACACATCGGGCTCAAAGAGGGGCACGAAAGCTAAGGGGGGCACAGTCTGGCACCATAGGTAGGGCGACGAAATCTATACATATCCACTGCTCCCAGGCCAGGCCCATCCTCAACCCCGCAGCGGTGTACACGCCACGCCCTCCTGGCTTGGCCAGGAGGGCGCATACACAGCTCCTGGGTTCAAGATGGGCATGGTCAGGGAGCAGTGGATATGTATAGATTTCGTCGCCCGAATAGGGAAAGAAGGTGGAGACCACACGTTCAACTGAATCACATGCTCCGGCCCTGCGCCCGTGGAGGCCCAAATTCAAGTAGGATGCCGTATACGCCACGGCGGACCACACGAGCGACGACGAGAAACGGATCTTCCGCGAGATGACGCAGCGACTTTGCGCGGTGACTTGCGCGGGCCGCCAGCGCGGCACACCACATTGGAGACGGAGGGCGCTTACGCGCGACCTCACGCGGGCAACGTGCGCACCAATGTCGGCGCAAACGACCCCGTTCTTGTTGCGTCGCTCACCTGACCCCAGGATCCCAACCTGAAGGTGGTGTCTCTGGATTCCTAGGCGCCGCTCGCCATCAGGACCCACCAGGCAGGTGATTCTGAGTTCTTGGCCCGTTGGCAAAGCCAGCGATCGTGACCCTAAGATTACCCACCTCCCTTCGTCGAAGAGTGCGCGTTTCTCCCCCTCCTCATTCATCGCCCCCTCATTACTGGCCATCGCTGGACGTCCATTCCCTGTGTTTTTTTTGGTTTCGTGCGTGGTTGTTTCGCCAAATGATCAAGGATGCTCCTCGATGGTCCTCGCCGAATGAAAAATGCACACGTCCGAGCGATGCCAAGATTAAGCAACGCCCGGAGCGAAGAGACACGACGAGCGCCGCAGACGCCACGCAGGACGGCCCCGAGCCGGGCTCCGAGACCCACATGTGGATGCCGAAGAACTCGGATACTTTGTGCCATGAGCTTGCTCCTCACATGTGGTGCTCGAACAGAGAAATAGCCTCGCTGTCGCAAGGGCACTTGAGTCGTGGAGGATTGGCGAAGGGAGTGAAGAGGAGAAAAGAGGAGGCCCGAGAGGTGCCCAGGAGGCCCAAAGAAGCCCAGGAGGCCTCAAGATACTCCCAAGAGACCCCAGAAGACCTCCAAGAGGCCTCAAGAGGCTTCCCAGAGGCACCCAAGACGTCCCAAGATGCCCCCAGGACTGCCAAGAGACTCCTAAGACACCCCAAGAGAACTCGAAGAAGCTATTGCTAGAAATGCGAAGAAACTCCGAGAGGCATTCAAGAGGCTTGTGGTCTTTCTGCTCGCCCTCCTCCTCCTCTTCCTCCTTATCATCATCACCATCACCATCACCATCATCATCAGCATCATCATCATCCTCCTCATCATCGTCATCCGCATCAACATCAGCAACTTCATGATCATCGTCGTCGTCATCATCATTCTTAGCCTCATCCTCCTCACCATCTGCATCATCATCAGCAACATCATCATCTGCATCATCACCAGCATCACCATCGTCAGTATTATTGATATTGCTAAAATTCTTTATTACAATTATGATTATTCCCCACATCCAAAGTGGGGTTCTTGTTTTCTCTGGACACCCCGCGCAGGAACAGGAACACACACACACACACACACTCACACTCACTCACACTCTCTCATCATCAACCTCATCAGCATCATCGATGATGCCCTCTCACATGCTTAGTCACTCACATACTCATCATCATCATCACTCGCACTCTCTCACACGCTCACGAACATCATCATCATCATCATCATCATCGGCATCGGCATCATCCTCATTCAAACATCATCATCGCCACCACCACTCACAATCAATCATCATCCTCTTCACCACTCATCTTCACCACCACTCATCATCCTCATCCTCATCATCGTTGAGTAAATTGTGAGGAAGTCTCAGGCGGGAGCCCCCTCCCTATGGGGCCCGCAGATCATGTTGGTAATCCGAGCGGGTCATCGGAAACCTGTAACTGTCGTCACTTTTGGGCTCGTCAAGCCTGAAAATGGAGGAAGTCTCAGGCGGGAGCCTCGTCTGTGAGTGAATTGGGAGGAAGTCTCAGGCGGGAGCCCCCTCCCTATGGGGCCCGCAGATCATGTTGGTAATCCGAGCGGGTCATCGGAATCCTGTAACTGTCGTCACTTTTGGGCTCGTCAAGCCTGAATTTGGAGGAAGTCTCAGGCGGGAGCCTCGTCTCTGAGTGAATTGTGAGGAAGTCTCAGGCGGGAGCCCCCTCCCTATGGGGCCCGCAGATCATGTTGGTAATCCGAGCGGGTCATCGGAATCCTGTAACTGTCGTCAATTTTGGGTTCCTCAAGCCTGAATATGGAGGAAGTCTCAGGCGGGAGCCTCGTCTGTGAGTGAACTGCGAGGAAGTCTCAGCCGCGAGAGTTCCTGGAGTGCGGGCCGCCGGCGTCCCTGCGGAAGGCGCTCCTGAAGTTCGACAAAAGAGCGGTTTTGTCCAGGGCGGAGGCGAAGCAGCTCGCGGCAGAGCTGGGCTTCGTGTTGCCTTCCGCCTGAGCGCGGCTGCGCCTCGCTCGAAGCCCGCGGGGTTGTCCCAACGGCTTGGTCTTGCGCGCCAGCGGCTCGCGGGGTTGTCCCGACAGCCTGGCCCGCGGGGTTGTCCCAACGGCTGCGCGACGTGACCAGTAGAGAACGCGCCTGTGCTGGCCGTGGCGGCGACGGCGCCGAGGAACATCGACATGCGCGCTCATGCAACAGGAAGGGGAGGAGGTGGCGGGGCGCGGAACAAACAGGGGGGCGAGGATGGGGACAACGTAAGGAGTGGAAGGGGGGCCCGCGCCAAGGCGAGAGGAAATATACGCAGAAGAGACAGCCAGGACGCCTCACCAACCACGAGGACGACGGTGATGGTTTTTACCCAACAGCTTGTTCTGATAGGTTTCTAGTGGGGTCAAAA